TGTTCTCACCTCTTCCTCTTCTCGCTCACAAGTTTCTGTGTCTACAAGACCTCATACAACACCTACTCCCCATCACCCCTCTCCTTCTCCAAAGTCCAAAACACCTTCCCTTCTGCAGCAACCTACACATTTTTCCTTCCCAGTCTCTGTACCCAGTTCTTCACCTCTAAATGGCTCTGTTAAGAGTGTGGAGGTTCATCCTCCTCCTCGTACAGTACCATCTTTTCCTGTCCCCTCCCAAATTTCTTCCTCTTCTGCCCCGTCCCAGGTCACTTCCTCTCCTGTCCCTTCCCAAGCTTCTCTAGTTCCCTCTACCCTTTCGTCGTCCCCCCCCCCCCTACTTTGGTACAGTCCATTGTCCCCCTGATCTTTACTCACCCTCCTTCTTCCATCTCCAATATTGTACCACATACAACATTCTTGTCCTCTGAAACACTTGAAGCTGTCTCAAAATATATTAAGGAGACTTGACCATTGATGGACACCGATCCACCTCCTGTTCCTCCTCTTCACTCTTCTCCATCTGCACAACTCCTTTCTTCACAATGTCTCAATCCTTCGCTGCTTAAAAGTTTTCCGCTACCTCCACATGTAGACTTTTCTAAACCTACTAGTCCATAGATACCTCTACCTTCAGATTTCTTGTATATTTCTCTTTGCAAATCATGGCTTATTTACAGTGGAATATCTGTGGCCTCAGGGATAACTGGGGTGAGCTCCAGGTGTTGCTCTCCCAATTTTCCTGTTGTGTTAGTTTACAAGAACCCAAATTATGCTCCGCTGTTATCCCTCCCATCTCGAGCTTTGATTTATTATGTTCATCGGATCCTTTTCCCGATGGAACCTGTAATGAAAGTCCACTTATATGCACCAGTATTCCATACCCTCAGCTCTTTGTTCATACTTCGCTGCATTACACTGCAGCATGTATTCACTTGAAAAAGTGGTATACAGTCTGTTCTTTGTATCTCTCTCCTTGGGCCTTATCTATCCCAGATATTGCATTTCTGGTTTCTTCCTTACCGCCACCACCACTTCTGTTACTTGGCGATTTTAATGCCCACCATTTCCTCTGGGGGGGGGGGTCTCACTGTGACTCCCGCGGCATTCAGTTGGAGGCTTTTCTCGCTTCTCTCCCCCTCCAAGTTTTAAATATGGGTACTCCCACCCATTTCGATCCTCGTACTCATTCTCTCTCTTGCATTGATCTCTCAGTTTGCTCTTCCTCAACTGTACTAGACTTCACCTGGTCTGTCCTCCTGGACTTGCATGACAGCGATCATTTTCCAGTCATCCTTACTTCTCCTTCATATTCACCACCTCCTCGTAGCCCACAGTGTCATTTTGACCGAGTAAATTGGGACTTTTCCTTGCATCTAGCTGCTTTTAGTGAGGCTCCTTCTTCGTCCTCCATTAATGAGCTTTTACACCTCTTCTCAAACTCAGTCTTAACTGCAGCTTCACATTCTATACCCCAAACCTTGGGCAGGCATTCTCAGAAGTGCATGCCTTGGTGGTCTCCTGCTTGTGCTTGGGCAGTATGTCTGAAATGCACTGAGTGGGGCAGGTACCAGTACTATAGAACCACAGACTCCTTGATTTTAAGCAGAAGCGAGCAGTTGCTTGCCGCATCATCCATGACGCTAAACGCACTTGCTGGTGGGATTATGTTTCTACCATCACCTCTGCTTCCTCTATGATTGCAGTCTGCAAAAAAGTACAGAGACTGAGTGGGAAATACTACTCTCCCGACCTTGCTCCTGTTCTTCAGGTTGCCAGTGTTGATATCACAAACTGTGTTGATGTTGCCACCGAAATTGGTAGTCATCTTGTCTGCACTATTTCTGAGGGGCTTCATCTATGCCCCTTGTTTCGTTCCTCAGTCTGCCAGAGTTAGAGCCCTTAACCTTTTCTTTTATCAGAGAAGAATCTTGTGTATCTTTTACACTTCTGGATCTGGAGGCAACACTCCCAGCTTGCCAATCATCAGCAGCTGGGTCTGACGGCATTCATATTCATATGCTACAGCAATTACATCAGTCAGCCCTTGCAATCCTTGAACAACTCTTTAATCTTATTTGGTCACAAGGAGTTCTTCCCCAGCTGTGGAAATCTGCCATTGTTCTCCCTTTCTGCAAACCGGGTACTATGGGACATGATGCCTCCCACTGTTGTCCCATTGCTCTTACCAGTGCAGTTTGAAAAGTGATGGAACGTCTGGTAAATTGATGTTTGATGTGGTATTTAGAGATGCACAAGTCTGTCCACAAGGACCATTCTACCATCAACCCCTTACTATGCTTAGGTACATATGTCCTTAATGCTTTTGCCAATAACTGCTCAATTATTGCCATCTTTTTTGATCTTGAGAAGGCATATGACACTACTTGGAGGTATAATATCTTGGCCCAGGCCCTGCTTAGGCCTCCAAGGCAATCTACCATTTTTCCTTAAGAACTTCTTAACTGAAAGACATTTCCATGTTCGGGTTAATAATATACTTTCCCAGGACTTTGTCCAAGCTGAAGGTGTCCCCCAGGGGTTTGTTCTGAGCACAACATTTTTTCTCCTTGCTATTAATGATCTGGCTTCTGTTCTTCCATCCAATATTTGGTCATCGCTTTGTGGTGATGACTTCGCTATAGCTTGTGTAGGCACTGACTGTCACCTCATTGCAGTTTCTCTCCAGCATGCAGTCGACCATGTTTCCAATTGGGCCACCGCTCATGGGTTGAAATTTTCTAGTACTAAAACTCACTAGATTACTTTCACTAGGTGTTCTGTTGTCTCTGATCATCCATTGTACCTATATGGCTTGCGTATCCCAAAACGTAATACGGTCTGGTTTCTAGGCCTTCTGTTTGACCGTAGGTTATCCTGGAAACCTCACATTACTTCTCTGAAGGCAACTTGTCATAGCCAGCAGAACCTCCTTAAAACTCTCGCTCATCTTTCATGGGGGCTGATTGCAGAACTCTCCTTCAACTACATTCAGCCCTAATTTTATCGAAACTTGATTATGGTGACCACGTATATTCAGCGGCCTCTCCTGCAACTCTCTCTAGCCTTAATCCCATCCATCACCAGGGTTTATGTTTATGCCTTGGTGCCTTTCGCTGTTCACTGGTTGAGATCCTCTATGCAGAGGCGAATATTCCATGCTTGCCTGATCACCATGATCCTCATTGCCTTCGCTATTATGTTCGCTCTCATGACCTCCACAATCCTTCCATATATAGGATAATCACTGATGTTAGTAGATGTTCTTTATTTGTTCATCATCCCTGTTTACTCTATCCTTTTTCTCTTTGCCTACATTCACTCTTGTCTTCTCTTGAGTTACCACCTTTCTGTGTTCATGTAGCATCTCACTTTTCCCTACCCCCTTGGGAAGTTCCAGTGGTTCGTGTCTGTTCTTTCCCACTGCCATGCGTGAAAGCCCAACTATCTACAGTGGCTTCTCACTCTCTTTTTCTTAACCACTTCCAATCTCATTCTCATGCCATCGCAGTGTACACCAATGGTTCTAAGTCTTCTGACGGCATCAGATTCGCAGCATTGTTTCCGGACAGCATCGTGCAAGGGCCTTTATTATCCTCGACTAGTATTTTTATGAAATAAATAAATAAATAAATAAATGGCTGAATTGTATGCCATTCTTGTAGCACTTATCCGTATTGCATCTATACCTGTGTCACCATTTGTGGTCGTTTCAGACTCCCTTAGTGCTTTACAGGCTATATGAAAATTTGATACACCTCATCCCCTGGTTCTTTGTATCCAACTTTGGTTACATTGTATCTTTAGCAAGCACAAAGATGTTTCTTGTTGGGTCCCCAGTCATGTTGACATACAGGGCAATGAACAGGCAGACACTGCTGTGCAGTCAGCAGTATATAACCCAGTTTAATATAGAAGTGCTCCTTTCACAAACTATTTTGCTGTAATTGCTACTCACATTCGCAACTGTTGGCAACAACATTGGTCTGATCTGCTCCATAATAAACTACAGCCTATTAAACTGAGTATAGGTTTCTGGCCTTCTTGTCGTCAGTGTCGAGGTTGGGAGACTACTCTCTCCCGTCTTCGCATCGGCCACACTCGTCTTACTCATGGGTATCTCATGGAGAGGCGCCCTGTTCTACTCTGTGAGAATTGTCAGGTTCCAGTTTCTGTTAGCCACATTCTGTTGGACTGCCCCCACTATCAATGAGCACTCAGAATTTACCTCCATCGTCGTCATCGCTCTACTGCCTTTACTTTACTTTCCCTTCTTGCTGATGGACCCTCCTGTAACTCAGACACTCATTGACTTTTTGACAGCAACTTATTTACTGTACAAACTGATGATGATGACGACTAACACTCCTCACAGCCCTTTCTACCTCAATCTCTTGCTACCCTCTACCCCTGCACTCCATGCCCTAATAATCATCCCTCTCTCTCTCTCTTGCTACCCAATACCCCTGCATCTTTCCCTGCCCTGCTGCACTGTATGACCCTTGTAGGTTTAGCACTTCTTTTTTATTATAATAATTACACAGGCTGAGTATTGGAGGTCATGCCATTTGTGTATACATACTGGTGTCTATCACTAAGCTAAGATTTTAGGTAATTGAGAGAGTATCCTCTGGCCCCATAATGCTCTAGTTTTAGGTGCAAGATGTTGTGGTCTACTGTATCAAATGCTTTTCGTAGGTCTATGAAGAGCCCTAGAGGATATTCATTTTTTCAAGTACTGTATATAGTAATTCAAGCATCTGAATAATTGCATCATTTGTGCTTTTTTGTTTTGGCCTAAACCCAAACTGGCAGGGGTTCAGTATGTTATGGGAGACATTCATGTTCGATCCTGGGAAGGGAAGGATAAGTACAGTTTCTTGGATCAAGATCATCATCCCTTCACAACATCAGTCCACCTGCCTTGAGGGGTTTGACATAGAAGAATTAGAAATATTGTCAGTGACACATGAAATAATATAACTATTTCCTCTCTACAGATACACATTGAAACTGCAGACTCTAGGTGACCCGACGCCATGTTGGCATTCACCCTCTGGTGCCAGTGTCACAGCATATCATGCCAACAGTGACCTTGGTTCCTTGTATCTCGCTAATTTTATACTTAATACTTCAGTACCTGTGTTATCAAGGATGTATTTTACTGAAAATATTTATTGGTGGTAGTTGTATAAATAAGTAGATTTTGATAATCACCATATCTAATCTATTTGTTATTAAATCTCTAGATAATGCTGGTATTAAAGTATTGAGCAAGATAAAATATTAATATGGTGATTATGATTTTTTTTCGTAAGCTTAAGAGTTCATTGATGTTTGTTAATAGTAAAAAAATATAATATTTTCTTAGGAATTTGTAGCAAAATATAGGAATCTCTACATGCACTGCTGCTGCATCAACAAAAGTTTTTATAAAACAAACTTGTTTTGTTGAATCTCACAAAATTTACATGAAGACTCATCATTTGTATGTAAAAGAGAGACTTTGTGAGATAGAAGTAACTGCTGTGCAGCACTTATTTAGCTGATGCTCATGTTTGTATGAAAAAGAAACAGTAATTATGTAAAAGATAGTATCATTAAAAAAGTTTCTGTATACGTTAATAGTGAAAACCCAATGAAGAAAATATTTGAATGCAAGGACTGTTATAATTAATACTGGTTGTAAGTGATTATAAATATGAATACATGAATTGGTACAGAAACTATTTTGAACCAAAGGATTGTTGTAATAATTTTGTGTTAAGTTATTTGAATACATGAATCTAACAATGAGTAGTAGTTTTTAAAACAAAGTAGGTGTGGAAATATGGATACGTTATTGTACTGTAAGCACTGGCGTTTTTCTCTGCCACATTTTAGGTTTTTATTTGATGTCCATAAATAAGTTTATGGCTTCTTTAGGGACTTATATTGAAAGAATTCACTTTCAAGTGAATATGCAAGGTGTTTTAGGACAAAGCACAGTTTTTTGTGTAGTACAGTATAATGCGGAAAAAAAAATGAAAATTTTGTATTATTATAATCATTAAGTGCTAAACCCATTGAAAATTTCATACCCTGTAAGCTAGTTTTATTGCCAAGGAAAGAAGAGGACTAAGCTAGATAACCTACTAGAAGCTGACTTCACACAGGTCAACCAGGTAATGTTAAATGGATAATCTTGTGCAAACGTGACACGTTTTGAAGCGAGAGGGATAAAAGAAGTGTTTTAGGGTGGAATTGCATTTTGAGTGTTTAGGACATTATTTATCCAGTTAGAATAATAGATACTGATAACTGTGCATGAGGTATACACCAAATATGACCCACTCTGACACCACAGCTTCAACATGTGAAGTAAATGCAGATGAAGGCTAAGGCTAGGGCATGTAAGAGGGAGCGGAATAGACAGGGATACATGATGTCACACTGGTTTATTATTATTATAATCAAAAAGAAGCGCTAAGCCACAAGGGCTATACAGTGCTGCCACACTGGTTTAACATATTTATAGATGGGTTGGGGTATAGGATTGAAAGATGTTGGGTCTAATGCAGTGCAAGAGCTATCAGTTGCTCTTTACTGATGACAGTTCTTTTAGGGGATTCCGAAGGCTAAATTGCAAAGCTTTGTGGATGAATTTGGGAGGATATGTAAAAAACGGAAATCAAAAGTGAGCTTAAATAAAAAGCAAGGTGATTAAGTATAAGAAAGTCTAGGCACTGATAGACAAATATCAGACTGAAGGGAGTATGGAAGAAGGTGCATGTATTTAGATATTTAGGAGCAGATATCAGCAGATGGGTCTATACAAGATGAGATGAGCCATAAAATAGATGGGGGAAAAAGGTGGGTGGTGTGTTGAAATATCTGTGGAAAATAATTATCTAAGGAGGTGCAAAAAAAAAAAAAAAAGGGGGGGGGGGGAATGTATCAGAATATAGTGACACCAACTCTTATATGGGTGTATAACATGGAGATATCTTGCTAGAAAATGATGTGTGGTGTGAATATCATGCTGAGAATTCAGAGCATAGAAATTAAAGGGTGATGTGGGGTCACCAAGGGTATAATTCAAAAAGCTGAGAAGGGGGGGGGGGTCAAGATAGTTTGGGTATGTAGAGAGGATGGGTGTATTAATCTAGGGTGGAGGGTAGGAGGGGGTTGGGGTGTTCCCAGGAACAGCTGGATGAAGGAATAAAGGAGACTGAGTTTTAGGGGCTTGTGTGAGCATATTAGATAGGAGTGAATGGAGACAAGTAGCTTTTAGTGTACATGCTGTTGGAGTATGAGCAAGGTTACATTTATGAAGGATTCCAGAAAACTGGTAAGCCAGATTTGAGTACTGGAGTTGGTAGACAGTGCTTGTTTTCTGAAGGAGGGAGGGGTGGGAGATGATGCAGTCAGAGCATAATCTGAATTCCTGCAAGACAGTGACTGACTGAATAATGGTGCATGAGTTTTCTCTTCTGAGTCACGATATTTTGGCGGGAGACTTCTGTCTAGAGAAAAAAAGAATTCATTGCACACGTGCCTGTCATAGAAAATGCCTAAGATTTTTATTATCATGCACTTTTATGGCTAATATATAAAACAAGCAGAATATATTTATAACATTCCTACCTTAACATATAAAAATGTACAATGTGTCAAAAAATATAAAGATAACGTATTGTCATATTGTTAAATGCATGTTAATTTTAATAGTACTGTAATATACTAGGTATTTGTATTAATCATACAATTAAGCTGAGTTTTTGGTATATGCCAGGATGAAGAATAATGAAAAAATGAATTTAAACTTTTTTTTAACTACAGTAGTACCTCGGGATACGAACAGCTCAAAACGCTAACAATTATGTAAGTGCTTTTGTAAGTGTATTTTTGGGGGTCTGAAAGGGATTAATCCAATTTACATTATTCCTTATGGGAACAGATTCGTTCGGTATCAGCACTTGAACAGCCTTCAGGAACAAAATAAGTTTGTATCCCGAGGTACCACTGTATTTTCACCATGCACTGTATATGACAATACGGATATTTCTTACGGCACAGATAAAATTACAATCATGTTCACTAAAAAATTTTTTGATATGCCATAGCTGTATGAATAGAAGCTGTTTAAATGACTAATTCCCATGTTTATTTAAAAACACTTAGCATACATGGTGTAACATTAATGGTAAGTAACAGTGGCCTTTATTGTGAATGTCTTCCACAGTGTTTACAAAATGAGAATACTAGTCTAATAAAAGTTATAGGTTGACCATTTTCCATTAAAGCTTGATTGTAGTGAGGAGTATTGTGTAGCAAAACTACTTAGAAAGATCTCTCTTGCAACAATTGGGTGTACCTAGCATTTTTCACAGTGCATATTGTGCAAGGTTTAGTAAGAATCTTAGCTTGAATATATACAAAAAAAATACTGGCAGTAGGTGCCTGTTATTTAGTGCTGTGCAGTTTAACCGCAGTTGAAAGTACAGTAGTGTTATTCCAAGTGCTTCATGTTTTCTCACATTATCAAGCACAGCAAAAGTAATAAAGCTACAGAAGTCTTATATAACAGATGTGACTAACCTCACAATTAAAACAAATTATTGTGGTCCATCAAATATACTGATGTATGGTATCAGACGAAGTGATGTGATCTACTGAACTAATAAAAATAAGCCCAAAAATTCAGATGCACATTAGTGTTTTACATACACCCCCTCACAGTGATGCCTGATAATCAAGCATAGACTGGTTATACATATTTAACCCGTAAACGGTCCAAGCAGATCTACGTTTTTTTTTACATATTTTCAAATATAACAAAAAAAAAGTAGATCAAAGTTTTTTACACATCTTCAAATGTAAAAAAACAAAAAGAAGATTACTTTTTTTACATACTTTCAAATGTTGAAAAAACGTATATATACGTTTGGACCGTTTACGGGTTAAATACACAGTACGACATGCAATAAGATCACAAGAAATGCATCTTAATATGCAATGTAGTTACAGTGAAGAGTAATATGGGTTGGCCATCATAAATCCGGTTCTATCAGTAATCCGTCACCTATTACGGCTAGCATAATTTCAAATTTTCGGGGTCGCTACACCAATCTGCTGCTACTGTTTGGTGGTGCTACTTGCTGCATAAATCATTTCAATTTGTTTTTCCCCATTTATTGTTATAACCTGCTCACTTTTAGCCCTAGCCATGGTTCCAACGAATAAAAGAAATGCTTCTCATTGTGTAAAGCACATACACTGTACATTGTCCATAAAAGATAAGGCTGCTTTGAAGCCACTGTCGGTTGCCATGAGCTCAGCTAACTCAGATAAGCTGTGACCAGTAAATTTGGGCCTACATATGAGAGAATAGGTCTGTGTAGTAAGTGTGCACTATATAAAAAAAGTCCTGCAGTATGCAGTGCAAAATGAAAAAAAAATGGTAACTGTGCTTTTGGTGTAAAACAGTGATTTTGTAGTGCAGTTTTGTATGGTGGTATTCTCGTTTTTTTGGTCTCATTTGATAGAATGGAAGATATATTACAGAAATAGATATAATTTTGATTGGTCTCATGCTGGAAAGTACCTTAAAATTGAGCTCAAAGTAGTGGAAATGTTAAATTTTTGCCTATGTTCTAGAGTAAACAAACGATGTCACTGTCCAATGTGTGTCCAACTGGCCAGTATAATATGCAGTCACGAATGGGTTGACATTATTTATACAATTATTACAATAATGCAGTAGTCTTCAGAATAGTATATCTTCTATTTTTTGTGTGAATAAAAATTCAAAATGGAAAGCAAATGTAATATAAGAGGGGCCTGGAGATGTGACTGATGAACTGAGAAAATGTTATTTTAGTGCCAGGAATGTCTGCACTGTTTATTCTGGACCCTATTTTGAAATTGGCATCTCTTGAAATTTGTGCAAAATTAGCCAAATTACCAATTTCTGACCACTCTATTGGGTAGATGAAATAGGTAAATGGGCAGTTTCTTGTACTCAGTCGACAGAATAGAAGGAATACTAGTAAAATAGCTGAGTTTGGTAAACTGGAACAATGGAATGGGTAAAAAATAGGGCGTAAAGTTGGTGAAATCGCTGATGCGTAAATATCGCCAAAGGGTTAAGTGTATTCTAACCTAACCACTCTGTAATCCGGCAAAAATCGCTAATCCAGCACCCTACAGGTCCCAATGACGCCAGATTAGTGATGGCCAACCTGTACTATTCTAAGTGTTTTCATATTTTCTTATGGCTTGGAAGCATCCTCAGCTTGCACACTGAGGGTCCGAGACTGATCCCTGGCATGGGTGAAACATTGGACATGTTTCCTTATACCTACTGCTCCTGTTCACCTAGCAGTAACTAGGTATCTGGGTGTTAGCCAACTGTTGTGGGTCACATCCTGGGGAACAAGTCTAACTTAGGCTGCCCAAAATGCTCTGCATAACCAGGGGTTTTCTATAAAGTATGGCAACAATGTCAACTAGGTCTCTATCAGCTGTATCATGTATTTTGTAGAAACAATATTACTATTACTTTTTATTTATTATTACACGTACAGTCAGTGGTTTGCTAGATACCTCACTGAGTGTGCATGTGAGGTCACATCTCTGTTATATAAGACCTCTGTAGCTTTATTACTTCTGCAATGTTTATTACAAAACAAATTATAAACAACAATGCTCATGAAGTTTAATTCATTAAGGTGGCAAACATTACCTATGATATATTTAAGAGTATTGATTAATTTTATTAATCTATGTAATAGTGGCAAACTTGTGTACCAGAACTTCAGTGAGTGGCTACGTATCCATGGATAACATAAATAAGTCACTGACAACGAGGGAGATGTGTATTAAAAGCAGAGGAGTGGAGAGAAACCTCAATACAGTATACAAGGGACAAATATATTTTTATTTTTATTTTATGTTTTTAGAATATTTGTTTGGCACCCCAATGACTACATGCATATCATTTTCAAGAACCAAAGGAAAGACAAACTTTTATTTAAATCCAGAACCAACCAGCCTGACTGCTCAGTATTTTTTTTTTTACATATGCAGTAGTAAGCACACAGTATATCTGGTAGAAAAATATATCATGTATGAAAGAAAATATTAAATTCCAAGACAACATAACTTTTGACTTTTTCATATTATAGAAATGCTACCAACTTTTTTCTTTTTTTGGTCTCTAACAGAAAATATAGAAAAAAAAATATAATTCAATCCCTAATTAGATGACTAGGAATATCAAGAAAAGGTCAAAATTAACTCTAGAGTTTCACAAATAAAATATAAACAACTTTTCACACACAATATATGTAAAAAATAAGATAGTAAATTAAATATTGTACATGTACAATACTCAAGTCATCTTCAGTTATAAATAATTTTGCCATAAACTAATTATCTATTTTATATTGTTTGTTGCATATGTTCCACCCATAAAACCATCCGATAAATATAATAAAATTACACGACCCTGTAATAATATCAGTTTTTAGATATCTAACACTGCCATCTACCCTCACATATGTACAAACTTTTACATGTACCATCTTCCTCTTTCCCTTTCTAAATTCACCTCCTCCCAATGTCACTCCCCTTGCCACATTATTTTTCTTATATAACCTTTTCATAATTTTTGTTTGTACGATTAGTAACTTTACCAGCTATTCTAATATTGTACTCCTCTAATCACTCTTGGGTGTGTAATCTCTCTTTTCTGAAATTGAATGACGTTTGCATTTTTGCTGTCACTTTATATAAATTAATGTACAGTGGAACCTCAGCTTACGAATTTAATCTGTTCCGTGACCTTGTTTGTATCTTGATTTGTTTGTATGCTGAGTAAATTTTCCTCATTTAAATTAATTGAAATGGCATTAATCCGTTCCAGCGGAATTCCTGCTCTTAGGAGGCACGACAAAATACGTACTCCAATATGATGCTAATATCAACTCAACAGCTTATTTATATATCACAATTCATCTAATTTCACCATCACTCAAGGAATGCACAACAGGTGCATCATTGTCAGTGTTGAGCATTTCTTCGATGTCAGCTTTGTGTAACTCCATTACCACACAGTCAAGATGAGTAAATAGAATTGTCAACGCTTATTGCTTGGGTACGTTTATTCTGTTAGTGGGGTGGATCTGTGAAGGACCTGCCTAGTATGGGCCAACAGGCCTACTGCAGTGTTCCTCCTTTATGTTGTTATGTACCCATGACACCAGTCATACCCATCCCCTCCCACTCATATATTTGTCCAATCTCTTTTTAAAGCTACCCAAGGTTCTATCGAAGCCAAAACCTTGGGTAGTTTCAAATTTAGGTTGGATAAATACATGAGTGAGAGGGAATGGATTTGAGTGGGACTTGGACGTGAGTAAATAGGATTATTAAACAGATATGAGCAGGAAGGGTAAAGAAAAAGGAGGGTCTATAAAAATATATTATGTTAATAGCCATAGTGCTAGGAATAAGATGGATGAGTTGAGATTAGTTGCTAGTGCAGGTAACATTGATGTATTTGCAATCACTGAGACATGGTTTAATTCCAAAAGTCGGGACATGCCTGCGGAATGTCACATTCAGGGTTTAAATTGTTCCAAGTAGATAGAAATATCGGTAAGGGGGTGGGGTGGCACTGTATGTCCGAGATCGCTTGAACTGTTGCATAAAAATGGGTATTAACCCTTAAACGGTCCAAACGTATATATATGTTCACTCGCGTAGCGCCCCAACTTTTTTTGAGGAAAAAAACAATCTTTTCTTTTAAAAGGAAAAAAGAGCATATGGTACCCAGCATCCCCAATTATTTTAATATGGCACACAGTGAGTGCGCACACCCATTCTCTCATGTCTAGGTGACTCAGGCTTATTGTGGCAATGTTGAATGAATGACAAAGAAAACGTATATATACGTTTGGGGCGCTACGCGTGTGGACGTATATATACGTTTGGACCGTTTAAGGGTTAAGTCTGAAATAACACATACAGAGTCTGTCTGGATAGAATTTTCAGAGGGCCATGAAAAATTGATTCTAGGAGTGATATACTGTCCCCCCCAAACTTAGATAGGGACCAAGGAAAATTACTGTGGGAGGAAATTGTTAAGGCCACAAGGCACAATAATGTAGTAATTCTAGGGGACTTAAACTTTAGTCACATTGATTGGAATTTCTTGACTGGGAATTTAGAATCAAATGACTTCCTAGAAGTAGTTCAGGACTGTTTTTTGAAGCAGTTTGTGACAGAACCTACAAGGGGAAATAAACTGCTTGATTTGGTTCTGGCAAACAAGGAAACCCTTGTTAATAATTTAGAAATTACAGAGGAACTTGGCACAAGCGATCACAAGTCAATTACCTTTAGCATAGAATGGCAGTATGATAGTAGGGATAGCTCAGTAACAGTTCCAGATTTTCACTTAGCAGATTACAATGGGCTTAGAGAACACTTATCATCTGTTGACTGGGGTAATGAAGAGAGCTATCAATATGACAAATAACAAAAAAAGGCACAATACCGTGACTGGAACGATACACAAATAACCCGCACATAAAAGAGAGAAGCTTACGACGACGCTTCGGTCCGACTTGGACCATTTACAAAGTCACACTAACCAGAAGTGGAGCAGGACGGCTATATATAGGCAGGAAGAGGTGGTGGTAGTGGTAGTAGTAGTAGTAGTAGTAGTACAAAGACACCCAGACGCCGCACATGTGTCTTAATTTCATCAGTAGTAGTAGTAGTGGTAGTTGTAGAAGTGGGGAATAAGGAGGACGAGCCAGTCAAATACAAAGGAAGGGGAGCACTTCAAGGGAGCTAGGTGCCCACAGAGGGAGAGCAAGCGCACAGAGGTGCGTGAAATGGGAAGTGGTGAAATAAGTGAAGAAGGAACAGAAACACGAGACAGAAGAGAGAAAGACAACCCAGAGGAGAAAAAGGAAAGAGGAAAGGGGAAGAGCACCTCTGTGTGCTTGCTCTCCCTCTGTGGGCACCTAGCTCCCTTGCAGTGCTCCCCTTCCTTTGTATTTGACTGGCTCGTCCTCCTTATTCCCCACTTCTACAACTACCACTACTACTACTACTGATGAAATTAAGACACATGTGCGGCGTCTGGGTGTCTTTGTACTACTACTACTACTACTACTACCACCACCACCACCTCTTCCTGCCTATATATAGCCGTCCTGCTCCACTTCTGGTTAGTGTGACTTTGTAAATGGTCCAAGTCAGACCGAAACGTCATCGTAAGCTTCTCTCTTTTATGTGCGGGTTATTTGTGTATCAATATGACAGTTTTCTGAACACCATACGTGCTGCCCAAAGAACGTTTATCCCATATAAAGAAATTAGATCAAATAGAAATGGCCCAAAATGGATGAATAATAGGCTCAAATATCTTTTAGGGCATAAGAAAGGAATTTATAGGCATATCAAAAGAGGTTAGGGTCATCTTATGAATCAGTATATTGACATTAAGAGGGACATTAAAAAGGGGATAAGAAAAGCTAAACGGGACTATGAAATTAAAGTTGCTAGGGATTCGATAACTAACCCTAAAAGGTTTTTCCAGGTGTGTAGAACAAAAGTTAGAGATAAGACAGGTCCCCTTAAAAATAACTATGGGCATCTTACTGACAAAGAGAACGAAATGTGCTCGATTTTAAATAATTATTTTCTCTCTGTTTTTACACAAGAAGACACTAACAGTATTCCAGTAATTAATTTTTATAGTGGGCCTGAAGAAGATAAATTATATAACATCACAGTCACTAGTGAAATGGTTATGAAACAAATAGACCGACTGAAGCAAAATAAGTCGCCGGGTCCTGATGAGCTTTTTTCCAGGGTTCTTAAGGAATGTAAAATGGAACTGTGTGAACCATTAACTAATATTTTTAATTTATCTCTTCAAACAGGTGTAGTGTCTGATACGTGGAAGATGGCTAATAAGAACATAAGAAAGGAGGAACACTGCAGTAGGCCTGTTGGCCCATACTAGGCAGGTCCTTTACAATCCTTCCCACTTACAAAATATTTGCCCAACCCAATTTTCAATGCTACCCAAGAAATAAATTTTGATGATTCTATTTACTCATTATGCAAGTCTCACTAAAATCCAACCCCTCTCACTCGTGTATTTATCTAACCGAAATTTGAAACTACCCAATGTTTTAGCTTCAATAACCCTACTAGGCAGGCTGTTCCACTCATCAACTACCCTATTTCCAAACCAATACTTTCCTATATCCTTTCGAAATCTAAACTTATCTAATTTGAATCCATTATTGAGGGTTCTTTCTTGAAGGGATATCCTCAAAACCTTATTTATATCCCCTTTGTTAATACCCATCTTCCACTTATACACTTCGATCATGTCTCCCCTCATTCTTCATCTTACAAGTGAATGTAATTTAAGAGTCTTCAATCGTTCTTCGCACGGAAGATTTCTAATGCTATATATTAATTTGGTCATTCTACGCTGGATATTTTGTAGCGAATTTATATCCATTATAATATGGAGACCAGAGCTGAGCTGCGTAATCTAGGTGAGGCCTTACTAATGATGTATAAAGCTGTAAAATAACTGCTGGACTTCTGTTGCTTACACATCTTGATATAAATCCCAGTAATCTGTTTGCCTTATTACGTATGCTTAGGCACTGCTGTCTTGGTTTAAGGTTGCTGCTTATCATAACCCCCAAGTTCTCTTCACAATCTGTATGGCTAAGTTATACATTATTTAACTTATAAGTGCTAGGGTTATGGACACTCCCAAGCTTCAGAACCTTGCATTTATCTACATTGAACTGCATCTGCCACTTTTCTGACCAAGAATTGAGTTTGTCTAAATCCTCCTGAAGTTCCGTGACATCTAAGTTTGAATCAATTATCCTACCTATCTTTGTGTCATCGGCGAATTTGCTCATATCACTAGTAATTCCCTCATCAAGGTCATTGATATATATTATAAACAACAACGGGCCTAAAACTGATTCCTGTGGTACACCACTTATTACAGATCCCCACTCGGATTTAACCCCATTTAAACATACTCTCTGCTTCCTATTGGTGAGCCATGATTCGATCCATGACAGCACTTTTGCCCCAATGCCATGAGCTACCACTTTCTTTAACAGTCTCTGGTGTGGTACTCTATCAAAAGCCTTACTAAAATCTAAATAAACAATATCGAATTCTTTAGCATAATCAATGGCTTCAAAAGCTTTACTGAAGAAAGTTAATGAATTACAGTGGACCCCCGGTTCACGTTATTAATCCGTTCCTGAGAGCTCATCATAAAGCAAAATTATCGGAAAGCGAATCAATTTTCCCCATAAGAAATAATGGAAATCAAATTAATCCGTGCAAGACACCCAAAAGTATGAAAAAAAAAAACTTTTACCACATGAAATATTAAGTTTAATGCAATAGAATAATTACAATAACAATAATAACAATAGAATAATCACAATAGAATAATTGACACTTACCTTTAATGAAGATCTGATGATGATTGATGGGATGGGAGGAGGGGAGAGTGTCGAAGTTTTTAATGTTTAGAAGGGGAATCCCCCTCCATTAGGATTTGAGGTAGCAAGTCCTTTTCTGGGGTTACTTCCCTTCTTCTTTTAATGCCACTAGAACTAGCTTAAGAGTCACTGGACTTCTGTCACACAACATATCTGTCCATAGAGGCCTGTACCTCTTGTTCCTTTATGACTTTCCTGAAGTGGTTCACAACATTGTCAGTGTACAGGTTGCCAACACGGCTTGCAGTAGCTGTGTCAGGGTGATTTTCATCATACTATGTATGCCACACTATGTATGCCACTACGATTCTTAAATCTTTCAAACCAACCTTTGCTGGCCTTAAATTCACTCACATCACTAGTTGCAGCCATTTTTCTAATTAAATCCTCATGCAACTACCTAGCCTTTTCACAAATGACCAATTGAGAGATGCTATCTCCTGCTATCTGTTTTTCATTTATCCACACCAATAACAGTCTCTCAACATTTTCTAACACTTGCGATCGCTGTTTTGTAATCACAGTTGCACCTTTTGCAAGAACAGCTTCCTTGATTGCCGTTTTCCTGCTCACTATAGTAGAGATGGTTGATTGGGATTTACTATACAACTTGGCCAGGTCCGACACACACACACTCCACTTTACTTTGCAATTATCTCTTTCTTCATTTCAATAGTCATTAGCACCCTTGGTCTCGATGAGTGACTTATTTTGCAGAAACAAGCACCAAAAACAGTGATAATACAGATAATATGGAATGTACCGAATGTATCCTTAGATGCGCGCACACTGGCTGGCTTGTAAACACTGGCACACATGGGGCAGTTCAGGCCACACGTGGACACGTCTCGTACGAATCATATCGCATACCGGGTTTTGTAACGGGAACTGAGGCAAATTTTTTGCGATATAATGCTTCAGATACCGGATTTATCGGATACCAATGACTTCACGAACCGGGGGTCCACTGTAGTTAGGCAGGAATGGCCCCTCGTGAATCCATGCTGAGTATCATTAATCAAGCTGTGCTTATCGTTATTGAGATGGCTTCTTATATTATCAGCTATAATTGACTCTAGTAATTTGCCGACAATTGAGGTTAGGCTTATTGGGTGGTAATTTGATGGTAACGACTTGTCCCCTGCTTTAAAAATAGGAATTACACTAGCCATCTTCCACATATCAGACACTGCACCTGTTTGAAGAGAAATATTAAAAATATTAGTCAATGGTTCACAAAGTTCCATTTTACACTCTTTAAGAACCCTTGAAAAAAGTTCATCAGGGCCCGGGGATTTATTTTGCTTTAACCGGTCTATCTGTTTGATAACCATTTTGCTAGTGACTGTGATATTGCATAATCATCTTCAGGCCCATTATAAAAATTAATTACTGGGATATTGTCAGTGTCTTCCTGAGTGAAAACTGAGAGAAAATAATTATTAAGAATAGAGCACATTTCATTATCCTTGTCAGTAAGATGCCCAGAGTTACTTTTAAGGGGACCTATCTTATCTCTAACTTTTGTTCTATAAACCTGGAAAAAACTTTTGGGTTAGTTTTCGAATCCCTAGCAACTTTAATTTCATAGTCCCATTTAGCTTTTCTTATCCCCTTTTTAACATCAATATACTGATTCATAAGATGAACCTCACCTCTTTTGATAGGCCTATAAATTCCTTTTTTCTGTCCTAAAAGATATTTGAGCCTATTATTCATCCATTTGGGGTCATTTCTATTCAATCTAATTTCCTTATATGGGATAAATGTCCTTTGGGCAGCATGTATTGTGTTAGGAAAGCTGTTATACTGATGGCTCTCTTCGTTACTCTAGTCCACAGATGATAAGTGTTCTCTCTAAGCCCATTGTAATCTGCTAAGCAAAAATCTGGGACCATTACTGAATTATCCCTACTGTGAGACTGTGTGACTGTGTGTGTGTGTGAGACTCACACACAGTCACTCACACTGTGGTGTATGAATGGAAAACAAGAATTAATAAAGGGGATGTAAATAACGTTTGATAAACATATTAGGTTGGATAAACACATGAGTGAGAGGCGTTGGATTTGAGTGGGACTTGCACATGAGCAAATAGAACTATCAAAGCCTATTGCTTGGGTAGCAGTGTAATTCCTATTTTTAAAGCAGGGGACAAGTCGTTACCGTCAAATTACCGCCCAATAAGCCTGACCTCAATTGTAGGCAAATTACTAGAGTCAATTATAGCTGAGATTATAAGAAGCCATCTGGATAAGCATAATCTGATTAATGATACTCAGCATGGATTCACAAGAGGCCGTTCTTGTCTAACTAATTTATTAACTTTCTTCAGTGAAGTTTTTGAGGCTGTTGAGCACAATAAAGAATTTGATATTATTTACTTAGATTTTAGTAAGGCTTTTGATAGAGTTCTGCACCAAAGACTGTTAAAGAAAGTGGCAGCTCATGGCATTGGGGAAAAAGGGAAAAGGGATTGAGTCATGGCTCACAGACAGAAAGCAGTGTGTCCATAAATGGGGTTAAATCCGAGTGGGAATCTGTAACAAGTGGCGTTTCACAGGGATCAGTCTTGGGCCCGTTGTTGCTTATAATATAGTATATCAATGATCTTGATAAGGGAATTACTAGTGAAATGAGAAAATTTGCCGATGACACAAAGAAAGGAAGGATAATTGATTCACACGTTGATATCAGGGAACTTCAGGAGGATTTAGACAAACTCAATACCTGGTCAGAAAAGTGGCAGATACAGTTCAGTGTACACAAATGCAAGGTTCTGAAGCTCAGGAGTGTCCATAACCCTAGCATTTATAAGTTAAATAATGCAGAACTTAGCCATACAGATTGCAAAAAGGACTTAGCGGTTATGATAAGCAGTAACCTTAAACCAAGACAGCAATGCTAAGCGTACGTAATAAGGCAAACAGATTACTGGGATTTATATCAAGAAGTGTAAACAACAGAAGTTCAGCAGTTATATTACAGCTTTATACATCATTAGTAAGGCCTCACCTAGATTATGCAGCTCAGTTCTGGTCTCCATATTACAGAATAGACATAAATTCATTAGAAAACATTCAGCGTAGAATGACTAAATTAATACATAGCATTAGAAATCTTCCTTATGAAGAAAGATTGAAGACTCTTAAATTACATTCACTTGTTAGACGAAGAATGAGGGGAGACATGATCGAAGTGTATAAGTGGAAGATGGATATTAATAAAGGTGATATAGAAAAGGTCTTGAGGATATCCCTCCAAGAGAGAACCCGCAGTAATGGATTCAAATTAGACAAGTTTAGATTTAGAAAGGATATAGAAAAGTATTGGTTTGGAAATAGGGTAGTTGATGTCTACCTAGTTGGGTTATTGAGGCTAAAACCTTGGGTAGTTTCAAATTTAGGTTGGATAAATGCATGAGTGAGAGGGGTTGGATTTGAGTGGGACTTGCATATGAGTGGATAGAGTTAACAGAGCATATTTCTTGGGTGGCATTGAAAACTGGGTTGGGCAAATGTTTTGTTAGTGGGATGGATTGTAAAGGACCTGCCAAGTATGAGTCAACAGGCCTGTTGCAGTGTTCCTCCTTTCTTATGTTCTTATGCTGATGAGTGGAACAATCTGCCTAGTATGGTTACTGAGGCTAAAACCTTGGGCAATTTCAAATTCGCGTTGGATAATTACATGAGAGAGAGGGGTTGGATGCGAGTGGGACTTGCACATGAGTAAATAGAATTATCAAAGCTTATTGCTTGGATAGCATTGAAAATTGAGTTGGGCAAATATTCTGTTAGTGGGATGGATTGTGAAGGACCTGCCTAGTATGGGCCAACAGGCCTGCTGCAGTGTATTATTATTTTTAGTACATATGTATTATAATAATAATAATAATAATTATTATTAATTTAGGGAAGTGGAGCACAGATCCAAGTCCCTTGATCAAGAGCCCCTCACCAAGGATGCGAGCTTCTCCCTTCCTTGAGGGGGAAGTTCGCATCCTGAAATTTCTTTCATATCCAGAAGCAAAAAATCGATTGAGTGACTGTTCATATCCTGAAAAATTCGTATAGTGGGGCATTCGTAAGCCGAGGTTCCAGTGTACTGTGGACCCCCCACCTTATGATATTAATCCGTTCCTGAGAGCTCATCGTAAGCCGAAATTATCGTTAGCCGAATTAATTTTCCCCATAAGAAATAATGGAAATCAAATTAATCTGTTCCTGACACCCCAAAGTATGAAAAAAAAAAAATTTTTACCACATGAAATATTAATTTTAATACACACAAACTGAAGAAGACATGCACAATTACTACTCTACTAAGAATAGAATACGTGACACTTACCTTTATTGAAGGTCTAGTGATGATTGATGGGATGGGAGGAGGGGAGTGTGTGGAAGTTATTGTTTACAAGGGGAATCGCCTTCCATTAGGACTTGAGGTAGCAAGTCCTTTTCTGGGGTTACTTCCCTTCTTATTTTAATGCCACTAGGACCAACTTGAATCACTGAACCTCTGTCGCACAACAAATCTGTCTATAGAGCTCTGTACCTCCCGTTCCTTTAAGACTTTTCTAAAATGGGCCATAACATTGTCATTGTACAGGTTGCCAACACGGCTTGCAGTAGCTGTGTCAGGGTGATTTTCATCCGTAAAGGTTTGCATTTCAACCCACTTTGCACACATTTCCTTAATTTTTGAAGTAGGCAACTTCCTCAATTTCTCTCTCCCCTCCTCTGAAGCAGTTTCCTCAGGTCTGGCTCTTGCTGTTGAAGATGATCTTGCAGCTCATCAGTGGTTAGTGCTTCATTGTCCTCCTCCACCAACTCTTCCACATCCTCCCCACTAACCTCCAACCCCAAGGACTTCCCCAATGCCACAATGGATTCCACAACTGGCATACGCTTCTCAGGGTTAGCCCCAAACCCTTCAAAATTCCTTTCTTCTACACATTGTGGCCACAGTTTCTTCCAAAGCAGAGTTCAAGGTCCTCTTAGTCACTCCTTCCCAAGCCTTACCTATAAGGTTTACACAACTGAGTATACTAAAGTGATCTTTCCAAAACCCCTTAGGTCCAATCGATTTGTCTGAGGTCACTTCAAAGCACTTTTGAAATAGCTTTTGTGTAGAGTTTTTTTGAAGTTTGAAATGACCTGTGGTCCTGGGCTGCAGGAAGGAGGCAAAAACTTACCTTAATGAAGCTCATGTTCCCCAGAAAGTCGCTCTGCCAAGTCTGAAGGATTGGACAGGACTTTGTTAATACCAGGAGGCATTTAAAGGTCCATTTCTTTTCAATTAGGTAATTTTTCACAGTGGGGGCAAATGCATGGTGTAACCAGTCATAGAAAAAGTCCCTAGTGACCCATGCCTTACTGTTTGCCCTCCACAGCACACACAAATTAGCCTGGAGGACATTGTTTTGCCTGAACGCTCTGGAGTTTCAGAGTGATACACCAATATTATTATTATAATCAAAAAGAAGCGCTAAGCCACAAGGGCTATACAGCGCTGCAGGGTAGGGAAGGAAGCAAGGGAATTGGATGGCAGAAGGGAGGGGGGATGATCAGCAGGTTACAGAAAACAGCGGGGCAGGGGATAGTACGGGGGTAGAGGGTAGCAAGAGATTCAAGTAGAAAGGGCTGAAAGTATCAGAATTTGTGAAGTAAGTCAGTCGTTGTCAAAAAGTCAATGAGAGAGTCCGGATGAAAGGTGGGTCCATCAGCGAGAAGGGAAGGTAAAGAGAGAGCAGCGGGGCGAAGACGACGACAGAGGTAAATTTCTGCGTGCTCGTTGAAAAAAGGGGGCGTAAAAAGGGCACTAAGGAGTTGGCAACCAACAAGAGAAAAGGGCCCCCCCATAGTTTCCAAAAAAACGGATAAGCAAGAAGGAGGCTAATCGCAGTAAAAAAGGCCAAATAAAAATCTTTTTAAAACGTTTTTGCCGAAAGAACCCTTGGGTTTCCAACGGGGTGGGGGGAAAAATTTAAAAAACCTACTGGAAACCTCATAAGAAATGGTAGGGTCAAAAAGGACCGGAGCGGCCCGCATTGGTTCCAGCGGGGAAACAAAAAAATACACTGGAAAAATCCTGGGGGGAAGGGAAAAGGGGTGGGGTGTTCTTTTTTGTAATGAAAGTGAGTTGAGAAAACAAAAAAAAGAAAGGCAAAGAGAAAACGGAAAAGGGCGGGGGAAAAACAATAAAAATTTCACAAATAAAAACCCCTTTGACCTTCCCCAAAAGGGGAAATTCGGTCAGAAGATTTAACCAGTGAAGGGGCAGGAATGGAAAAAGGGTCAAAAAAAAGGAGGGGAAGCGCCGTAAAGGCTTTCGAAAAGGGAAAAAAGCGAAAAGCAAACCCCGGGGGGGGGTAAAAAGTAATTTCCTTGGTGGATTAAAAAAGGGGGGTAAGGCAAGAGAGGGGGGGAAAAGCAGGGGGGCGCAAATAAAAAATTTCCTTAAACATAATTCAAAATTTCGAAAAAAAGGCATGTATGAAGGAAGGGTCAGGCGCCCCAAAGGGTGGAAGTTTTTAAGAGGTTTCACGGGGAAAAAAGCCCAGGAAAAGTAATTTGGTTGGGGGGTAACAAAGGAAAAGAGGGGGGCCCGAATAACGGGTAAAAATTTAAAAGGATAAAATAAGGGGTAAGATGTGGGGGGTTGACGAAGCCCCCCAGAAAGAGAGGGGTTTTGGGGTTCCCCCGGGGGAAAATTCCCAGAGGTTGGGGCCAGGAAACCTACTAAAAGGGAGGGGAAAAACTGTAATTTTCAGGTAGGGGGCCATAAAGGTACAAATAGGAGTAAAGACCAAAAATTTTTGGGGTGGAAGCTGAAAATTTAAAAAAAAAGGTGGTCCCCAAAGAAACCCCCAATCCCTGGGGAAAACTTAAGGATAAAGTCACGGAAGGGCAATACGAACATAAATGGGTTTTAAAATTTTAGGAAGGATGAGAAATCTTAAAAAGGGGAAAAAGTGTTGGCCCAAAAAATCCTCCCTTTCAGTTGGTAAAGCCCCGGGGGGCAAATAAAAACAAAATGTGTATTAAAAAGCTTAAAGGAAATTTAGATCCCAAGGCTAAGGGTCTTGGTTAAACCCCCTTTTCAAGCCCAAAAAAAATTGGGCAATAAATGAGGGTTTTTCCAAAAAACAACACAAACGCATAAGGGGTTTTTTTTTTTTTTTTTTTTTTTGGGGTTTGTTTTTTTTTTTTTTTTTTTCGTTCCATTATTTTGCAAACTGCACGGGTAAGACAAGGGGACGATAGTGGATTTTTCATGCCCTAGTGCCGGGTTTGCGGAAAGGGAAACGGGCGGATTTCCACAGCTGTGGAAGAACTCCTTGTGACCAAATAAGTTTGAAAAGGGCTAATGGGACTGCAAGGGCTGACTGATGTAAATGTGTAGCATACAAATGAATTCGTGGGGCCCACGCCGATGATACAAGCTGAGATTTTTCCTCCATTTTCTTGAAGTGTAAAAGGCACATTATACTGTTCTTTTTCTGAGAAAAGAAAAGTCCAAGGGTGCAACTCTCTGGCAGACTTTGGGGAAAAAAATAGGGGCATAGATGGAGCCCCCCTGAAAATAGGGAACAATGTTGCCAATTTTCTTTGGAAACATCTAGTGGGTTTTGCTATACAACACCCGGCAACCCGCAGAACAGGAGCCGGGTCGGAGAATATTTACCACTCTTTTCGTACTTTTTTCCAGACTGCACTCATGAGGAAGCAGAGGTGATGGTGGAGACAAAAATCTCGCCAGCAAGGTTTTTAGCGCACGGATGACACGGCAGCGATCGCACGCTTCGTTAAAATAAAGGGAAGTCGCTCTTGGGGTTTCTATTTCCCGGGTACCTGCCCCATGCAGCGCGTTTCAAACGTACTGCACGAGCACAAGCAGGAAACCCCCAAGGGAAAACGCTTTTCTGGAATGCCTGCCCGAATTTGGGGTATAGAATGAAAGCTGCGGTAAAACGGAGGACGAAAAAGGGGTTTTAAAAGCTCTCGAGGGAGGACGAAGAAGGAACCCTTTAAAAACAGTAGTGGAGTAAAGGTTCCAATTTCCCCCATTAAATTGCCAGCGTGGGGTCGAAGGGGGTGCAATAAAAGGGGG